AGCTGCCACAGGTAGTCATTTCTCAGGGGTTCTGCTATCCATCCTGAGGAGCCATTTGGGCCAAGCTGGCCCTTCCAAGTGTCCCTTTGTGACCCAGGAGACAGAGCCACACCCTGAGTGGAGATAGGACAGGCTGGCTTCTGTGGAAGGTGCTCTTGCACCTCCTCCTGCCACACATGGATCTGCCAGGTATCTGAATTTCCTCTTTTGAGAAATCTGTTTAGATTTGTGTCCCATTTTAATTGGGCTATTTGCTTCCTTGATGCCCAGTTTTTTTTGATACTTTATATATTTTGCATATCAGTCCTCTGTCAGATGTGGAGTTGGTAAAAACCTTTTCCCATTATTAAGGTTGATCTGTTTGGCATAAATAGAAAAACACAGCTAGATTGACCCCCCCCCCCGCTTTGGGTCACTGCAGTGAGAGCAATACCAAGAGAGGGGGCAGCTGGCCCCATCGGGTTGGAGCATCGACCTTCATTGGGTTTGAGGCCAAAAGATCTGAGCTCTAGCCCCAACTTGCAGTCTCTACCCTCACTGTCCCACTCTTGAGATGTCTCTAGTGCCTGACTTGAGGCTTTATTCTGAGGGTCAAGGCCCAGGCCAGCCACAGTCATTAGGCGCCTCTCAGACACAATGCTAAGCGTTCCCAAGATCTTCCCAGAGGAGCTACTGTGATACTGCAACCCCATCCCAGAGACAAGTTACAGGGGAGGCCTGGGGTTCTTAGCATGGTCCTGAAGAAAGCTCTGCTGGGACTGGGGAAATGAGCAGCTGGGCTGTGGAATGTGCCCTGAGGGGCTGAGAGCCCAGCCTAGGTTCTCACTAGCCTCTCCTACTGCAACTGACTTCACACTTGCCTTGGTGTGTGTGTGTGTGTCTGTGTGTGTGTGTGTCTGTGTGTGTGTGTGTCTGTGTGTGTGTGTGTCTGTGTGTGTGTAGGGTTGCTCATACCTGGGGCCATCCTTGGCTCATCTCTCAGCACTCTGTCCAGCCAGCCCTCGGCACTCTGGGTAGAAGTGACAGGAAGACAGAATGAAGGGGGCGTGGACCACATTTCCTTGGACAGAGCAGACTGTTAGGGACAGCCTCACTGGTGAGGACCTGCTGATCCCACAGGTTCTTCAGGACCAGGGACAGTCCAGCCCCAAGGGGTTCTCCTAAGGGGGACAAATCACTCACTGTGACTTTTCTGTCTTTGATAAAAGGGCAGTAGGCTTGAGCAGCCATTATAGGCAGCGCAGGGGATGGTGGGCTCCAGGTCAGACTATACTAGCCGGGAAAGGTTGGGGGCTGGGAGGTCCCACAAGAGCTGTTTAAGGAGGGAGAGACACAGCCAAGGCCAGGCCTAGTCACTAGGATCAGTGACCCCTGAAGACCCTCACTCTACTGGGGGCACTATTCCAAGTGCCCCCTACTGATTTATGGTCCTCCCGGGGGAACTGAAGGTTGCTGCAGAGGCCTGGCTCACCACCTCCAGTTGGGGTCAGTAGGGTGGGGATGGCTCTCAGCTGGTTTCCAGATGGGCTTTATGAAAAAGGTACCTGGGAAGTTCAGACACCCCAGCAAGGACTGGCTGGTGTCAGACGGCTCTGGCTCTATCCTGTCTCCTGTCTCCTGTCTCTGTTCCAGGCCTTGTCTCTGTGATGCGCGGTCTCTGCAGCCCTTCTTGCCCACCAGTTAGCCCTGGGTGGGTGAGAGTGGGAGCTGGTGATTTATCACTAGCCGCCTGTCTTCCATCGGAAACGCTGGGGGTGGGCGCAGACGCTGCGGTGAGCTATGGGCCACCCACCCCAATGTTGTTGCTCTGTCTGGGCAGCGGGTGCAGGCCTCCCCCTCCTATGTGGCCTAGTCTGGGGGCCCCTACACCTTTCCCAGGGCCTCCTCCTTGAGGTGGCCTTAAGCAGGTCAGCCAAGTTCCGAGGTTTCTCCAGGCTATAGTAGACTCATGTAAGACCCCAATGCTACCCGGATCACCAGAGTGGCTGAGAGATGCCTGAGCCTTTTTTTCTAAATCTTTGAGCTTCCCCTCATCATCCAGCACCCGCTGTCGTCAGCCCCGCCCCCTCGCAATGCACACAGCGGGGGCCAATGAATGTTTACGGAACAAACATGGATGAGGGGGGCGCACCTGGACTGGTCCACGTACTTCCCGCCAGGCGGAAGAGGTCCTTATCTTTGCGGTTGACCGGCTGTCAGTGCGCCAAAGGATAGGAGGAAGGGGGCTCGCACTCATCTTCTCCGCGTCTGTCAGCGGCCTCCAGTTCTCTCCTCTCCATCCCCCGAGGGAATGACCTGCCAGCCCCTCTCGGTGTAGTCTGGATGGTTCCCTGCTCTCTAGGTGGACTGCCTGGGCGTCCTTAGAGCTTGTCCAGGCCTGAGCGTCGAGCTATGCGTCTTTTGCGGGTCGCTAGCGCCCTCTGGTGCCAGTCTGGGGTCATGGTGCTTGAGGGGAAGATAGGCTCAGCAATACTTATTTATTTAACTAAATCAGCACGTGTCTGTTTCACAAGGAGATAGAGGCTCTCTGCGGGAAGTTACCGCCCTGTCTATGCATAGGCTGGTGGCCTTGTGAGGCCTTACTGGGACTCCATCTATTAAGTAAGCTCCTTGTTCAGTCATTGGCTGGCTGACAGACAGCACAGTGGCTTTACCTCTCTAAATACACCTCCCGGCCCCGCGTTAGATTAGCTGAGGCTGGGAATCTATCAGTTTAAATGAAGCCTTGGATAAGGATGAAGGTCACAGGAGAGGGCAGATCCACTGGTGGGACAGGTGCTCTAACACTGAAGTCTTGGGAGACCAAGGGATGCGTGAGCAGTGTGGTATGGTCACCCCCGACTTCCTGAGCTCCAAAGGAAGGGCCCAGAATCAGCCAGCCTGGGTCTGTATGTGTGTAGCAGTACTATACAGGCCTTTGAGAGGTGCCCTATGGCTTGTGCTCATCTAGGAGGAGTCCCAGACCACAGAGGGGACCAGTTGGTGCTGGGGGAGGAGACTCCAGGGCAGGTGTGTTGTCTCTGAAGTGGATGACAATGCTGGAGGCTGGGCTGAGGAGGAGGTGTGTGCATTCAGAAGCACTGAGCTGGGACCATCCACTTCCCCACACTTGTTGGAGGCTGAGACCCCAGGCTAAGCACGTGGAGGGTCAACTTGGGGTCAGGAGTTAGAACTGGAGAAATTTCCAGGCCACTAGGAGGGCCAGCCATTGAGACCAGGCTGGTATCTTTGTCAGCTGAAAGCATGGAGCGTTTGTTAAGAGGGGTCTCCTGGGGGAATGATAGGTACAGCTGCCCCATTAACCAGGAAGCAAGAGGTCCATCCTTCTGTCTGAACATACTGTGATGCCAACTTTGTTTCTTCATCAGCAGAGCCCTTGCTTTTGTGGTGACTGTCCTTCAGGAGTCCCAAACCCATCCTCTCACCAAGACACTGGTCCTGGAGCCTTGAAACCTTGTGTGCAGTGTGTACTGAGCCTGGCTCCTTCCTGTGGCTCCTGCTAGGACTCGTGCTCCTGTCCAGGGTTATGTACTTCCTCTGGTTACTTTCTCCTAGGCCTCGAAATTACCCCTAAGGGTTCCCAGTGAGAAGGAGAGAGGGGACCCCAGGGAACTCTGGATCACAGCCACAGAGGAGGATAGGTGCGGTGCGAGAGGTGATTCTGAAAGACCTGCTTTGCTCCTCTGAAAAGCAGAAGGAGCGGCCCCTTCCCGCACAGCATTCTACTGACTTTAAGGTGTTAATCTGTGTGCCTCAACCAGGGATTCTGAGGGTGACAGGCCACCCCTGGGGAGGATGAACGAAGAAGACACTGTCCCTGATGCACTGATAAGGCCGGATAGACAAGCACACAGTTAACTGCAGACCACAATGGGCCGGATGCCCTGCACCTGCCCACAAAAGCAGGGGATGCCTTATGCCTCACTCTGACTGGCAGGCTCTAGATAGAATCAGCCTACTGGAGGGTCATCTGTCTTGTCCCACAAAGGCCAGGACAAAGGCCATGTCAGCTACAGCCTCCCCGACCTGGTCAGTGGCGGTCAGAGGCCCGGTGCTTTCCTGTGCCCAGACCCAAGGCTCTTCAAGAGGGTGATCAGAAACAAAAGCTTCCATTGTTTCTAGAGGCAGCCGGTGGGACGCACATCAAGCGCAGGATAGGGACCCTGAGCCTGGTACTTCCAGTGAGGAAGGTGCCAGTCTGCTCATTTGGGCACTCAGAAAGGAACCAGATTACCTAGTTCCTCCCTGGGAAATGGAGAGCTCCTTGTCCTGAGCAGTGAAGGGGGAGACTTGCGGGAGAGGGAGAGGTGAAAAGTGAGCTGTGAAGGGATAGGAGGGCCAGGCTAGGAATAGAATATGCAAAGGCCAGGCAGGCGGCAGACAGGTGTGCTGCAGCTGTGCCTCAGCTGTGCAGTAAAGGGATCAGAGACTGGGGTAATGTGTGCTGTCAGGGAGGGCTGAGGTTGCTGTGGGTTGGGGAGAGGGGGGCCTTGGGGTGTAGGAGGAGGCCTGGCTCCCTCTAGGCCACATTTCAGAGACTGGTTAAACTTATACCTGCAGGCCCTTATAGCATGTCTGTCACCTGGCCTTGCCTACCCTTCCAGAGTCAACTCCCCACTGAGATGGTCCATTGAGTCCCAGAGTACCACAGCCCAGAGTCACCTCCATGTGTCTCTGACAGCTGTTAACACAGTGGGCTCATTTACCAGGAACACCTCAACTTCTGAGCTGTCCCTGAAAGGCTCTCATGGCCCTGGCTTCCCACAAGAGCCACTCCTCTGAGCATCGAGCTGCCTGCCCATACTGTTTCATGCTTCCTCAGTGCCAGAGGGACATCTCCATCTATAGCATCCTTACTGCGAATGACCTCGAAGACAGCAGGATAGAGGCTGCTTTAACCACTGGCTCCTGTTTGCCCTAGACCAGTTTGGCAGTGTATGAAAACGTGCCCTTGATCAACCTCCCCCAGGCCCTTTCTGGTATTTGGCAAGGTCAGGTGGTACAGAAACCGCCAGATGGGGAGGAGAAAGTTTATTCAGTGCTGACTCTGACAGGGGAGACTGCTCAGTGCGGAGTTGGGCTGCTCCAACTCCCGAGGCTCTGAAGGCTCAGGGTGGTTTCACTCCCTGAGTGCTGGCAGCAGTTTGGCTCCACGTGGATTCAAGCCTGCCAAGTTTGGGTCTGGAAAATTGGGCAAGGGCAGAGGCCAAGGCTGATCCAGGTGAAGGAGAGGGTCCTCTAGCAGGGACCTGCAAAGTTTGCAGATCTTTGTTGCTTTGCGCCTGTCTTTAGTATGCATCTGGCTCGGCTACCAGCGGGCCTGTGAGCGATAACTCGTGGAAGGCCCAGTCGCGTGCGTGCGCACGCAGCCTCCGCAGGCGACCCAGGAGGAGCACCAGCAGCAGCGCGTGTAGCAGCCCCAGGACCAGCAGCGCGAGCTGCGCCACCAGAGCCCCCCAGCAGAGCAG